GAAATCACTATTTATGATTCTAGAATTTCTTTTATGTGATTGCAATTACCAATGTAATAATAATAATAACTCCAGATGAACATCAAATATATATATATATATATATATAAATCAAATTATGCAATATGATAATCATGAATATCTCATATAATGGTTAATAAGAATTACACCTAATATGAATTAACCACTTCAATATTTAATATTTAATGTCATAAAATTATATCATGATATCAATTTTAAATCATGAAAATATATAAATATTAACAATAATAGACAATAAGTGTACATAATTAGACAAGGCAAAAACATAATTCTCTAACATGATATAATCAAACAAATATATTTACTTAATAGATCGAACGATTCAACAAAATTCTAAAATTGCTTTTAATCTATGCATTTTATCATAATGGCAAGCAATACACTCAATTCAATATCATATAATGATGATTATAAAAATTATTATTGCTAAAATTAATACTAAATCAAAACATGCATATTACACATTTATCATGCGATCTCTGAACTTGGTGGTGGCATCGACTTTATGAGCAACATCAATGGTTGCACCTAATAGGTGGTCAGCAGTACAAGCCACGTCCTTGCACTCTTGATGGTGCATGACATGCAAAGATCATTTAAAAAATGATGTCGATAATAAAAACAAAAGTAAGTTTTATGAATAATTATAATAATAATATTCATAAAATATATTATTATTCTAAGGTGTATTGATTCACAAAATCAGGCTCTAATACCACATGTAAGAAATTAATGTACATGTAATCATAATAATAATGTGGAATTGAACTTTGTAGGATCTTGAATTCAATACAACTCAAAAATAAAACGAACATACCGTTGTCAGCCATTGAATTAGAGAAGTTGAGAAAATACCCTTAATAGTTGAACTTTGAATTCTTGGCTCACCTTCTTCTCTCTGTCTCTCTTAATTAGGATGACTATAGAACTTAGAGTGATGGAAAAATACTTATATTATATAAGGGGAGTACCCATCTTATATAGAGGAGAGAAGAGGGCCAGATAAACTCTATCAGAAGAATTCCTGTTCATCAAGGTTTCCTTATTATCTTAGAAGAGTAATCATCCCATATTTAAAATTCTAATTATTGAATTTTATCTCAAATATTGACTTTATCTAGTTGTAGAATCCAAATAAATAAAACATGTAAAAGATATGTAGGCTATTGGGCCACACCAGAAAATAAATCCAGCAGGTAGTAGTGATCAATTTGGCCATGATAAAGGAAATCACAGTGATGGAAATGCAATGGAGTCATTGCGATGGTGGTGAGAAAGAGCGACAATGGTGGTTACAATAAAGGGAAAATGGCTACTGTGATTCAGAAGGGGTTGGTATGGCAATGGTGATGGCCGGCTAGTTATAGAGTAGGTAAGAGAAGAAAATAAAGGAAGAAGGGGGTGGGGGGAAGAGAGGGACAAAAGTGTAAATTTCACCATGTTATTTTGTAATCTTTTTGAAAAAAATTATTTAACTGCAAACAACTCAAAAATAATTATACTTTTATAGAAGTGCAAGTCAAAGTAAGTGAGAATTGTGTTCTATGTTATAAGTTTCATTTGCGTTAGGTATAGGTTCAATTTTATTTTTATAAAAATGTAATTATTCTGAGTTCCCATTTAAACGAACTTTTTATTTAAAAAAAAAAATTCTTTCGAATTCTCACCCCAACTTTAATTAAAAGAGATTCCCCATTGTTATGTAAACAATAGCCCCAAAATCCCATTTTTCAATAGTTCTCCCACATATATATAAGTATTAGTACGTTTACATTTACTTTGTGTTAAGGGCATCTCCAACGTTTTATCAAATTTTTCATTAAATTTAAATTTTATGAAAATTTAACGAAAACAGTGCTCCAATCGTTTCAACATATTAGTATCAAATGGGGCGAGCGGTACTTTTTTCATCAAATGAAGAGAGCGTTTATCCTTTTATCAAATTTTGTAGGTGATATTGGTGGATAACCGGGTGGATAATCTCCCGGACAACTAATTTGGGGATGAATTTGATAAAATTTACTCTAATTTAGACGACTGGCGGACGATCAATCAGATTTGATGAAATCATTGAAATGTATCATATCATATCAAACTTTTTTCTCAAAATTTTATTCAAATTTAATAAAAAATTTGATGAAGCATTCAAGATACTCTAATAAATCTAACATCTAATCACAAATTAAGTGGATGAAAAAGAAAGAAAAAAAAAGGACAAAAAATGATTTGAAAATATTTAAAAAAGTAATTTTTTACTCATAAGAAATAGTAATATATATATGAGCAATTTCATATGTTTTTTTTCATTTTATTATTACTAGCGGTTGGCATATGTGTGTCTAAGTTAAATAAATAGAAATAAAATAAAATAAAATAACATATATTTGTTGTAATCTTAAGTGGTAAGAGTTTTTCTATTAAATCTATGGTTTAAGGTTTAGGATTCAAGTCTTATTACACTCTCTTTTCTATGTCATCGGTATCTAAATGTTACACATTTAATCCATTAATATACATTTTATTTATATTATTTTATAATTTTATGTCATTTTATGTGTTTATACATATTTTGAGTGTTTATATAAATTATTATAAATAATATATTTTAATGTTATATTATTAATATAAAATAAGATAATAAAAATAATAATAAAATATTTCGGTGGAAATACCACTAATTCGTTTGGCATGTTAGGCTTTTTGATTTTTTAATTATTTTAATTGCAAAACAGCAAATAAGTTTTTTATCCTAATAAGATAAAACATTATATCAAAACCATAATCATTTCGTTTTTTTTTCTCTTACAAAAGTCATAAATGCCAAAAAACCTATCTCAAACGATATTTTTTAGCCCCAGACTAAAATAGCCAAAAAGCCAAAAGCTAACCCACATCCCAAACGAACTTTTTCATTTTTTTTCGAATAAATAACTAAACATTCAGACTTCATTTGAGAACAGACTATTTTAGTAACTTTTTTATTTTTTGGCTAAAATATAAAGTAAAAAAACTTGTATGTTTAGAATGATTTTTTTGATTTTTACGAAAATATATGCAAAAAGTAAAAAGAAAATGGAATATTTAGCTGTGTTTGGTGGAGTTTTGGAAACTTAATTCTACACCTTGGTCTGAATGCATTGTTTGGTTATAATTTTCAAACATTGATTCCACACCCACTTTTGAAAACATGTCTATCTGGTCATCCTCTTGAATGTCCCCCGAACGTCTGGCCGGTCGATCAGCCTGTTGACCAGAACAATGTTTTTTTTTTGTACCTATTATTTTTGGATAAATTACAAATATACCCCTTGAGGTTTGCTTAAAATACGAATTGACCCCTGTGGTTTGCAAAATTACAAATACTCCCTTATTAGAGTTTTTTATTTAACAGAATTAACTAAAAAATAAAATTCATAATTGCTCTCCTATATAATAATAAAATTACTTAAATTATTAATTGAAATATATTTTTAATATTATTAAAAACTGTTAATTGACTTGATGATTTATTAATAAAATGGGCGATTTGTTATGAAATTAGAAACTTCAAAAGGTGGAATGCAATTTTCAAAATCACAGAGGGTGATTCGTATTTTAATCAAATTTCAAGGGATGTATTTGTAATTTACTTTTTATTTTTATATTTAAAAATATATATATATTTAGAATTTTTTTTAATGAACTTTAAATAGAATTTTGGATTATGTGTTTGGTTATGAATGGTAAGTTTTTGAATCAAATATTATATGTCATATCAAAAATTTTAAACTCAATTCAAAAAAAAAATTCAAAACTCATAACTAAATAAATTTTTCACACTTAAATCATAATTCCAAAACTGACAAGCTTAAAATATAATTATATTCTTAAATCATAATTCTAAAACTCTACCAAACATTACCTTTAAATTTTTAATATAAGTTATAAATTATTAATTTTTTAATAATTTTTGACTTTTAAATAAAAATTATTGCATACCAAACGTGACCTTAATATAAAGAGGAATAAAATTTCAAAAGATTAAGTGATCACATGTATAGGGCTCATTTGAGAAGTCAGCAAAAAGCTAGCTTTTAATTTTTTTAATAAAAAAAAATTAATTTTTTTACACAAGTCACTATTCAAAAAATTAATACTTTTACCAAAAAAATCAAAATTAACCTTTTACTAACGCCCCAAAACAATACATAATGTGCTTGTTTGGGATTAGACAAAACACAAACCAACCAGAAAAATTGTGGATAACAGGCATTATTTGTCTCCCTGAAGCAATTGACACGTTTCGATGAGTTAGTGGCAAGTATAGTATTTGAGTACTCGACTTGCGAGTATGGATTTTGTTGTGTCTCTCTCTGAATTGAGGTTGAGGCAAAAATGATTCAAGTTTTTTTTAAAAAAAAAAAAAAAAAAACTACTTTTGTCTTAAAATAATAATTTTTTTTTAAATGAAATAAAATAATAAATTTATGTTATTTTATTTTTTAAAAAATTAATACTTTAAAATAATAAAAAATAAAATAAGAATTAATATTTTAAGACCGATAGAGTAATTAAAACACGGGTGTGTGAGAAAAAAGCGGACGAGAAGTGGAGTGGTGACAAACGAACTCCACGTGTTATGTGGCTCTCTCTCTCTCTCTGAACAACAGCCACAAGATTCCATCTATTTCTCGATCTTTCTTTCTCCAAAAAAACTCAAATATTATTATTATATTAATTAATTAAAAAAAAAATCCCAATATTTAAAAACAAACAAACAGCCACAAGATTCCATCTATTTCTCGATCTTTCTTTTCCCAAAAAAAACTAAAATATCATTATTATATTAATTAATTTTAAAAAAAATCCCAATATTTAAAAACAAACAAAAAGAAAAGAAATTAGCCTCTGACGTGGCACCTCTCCCTTTTCTTCTTTCTTCTTTTTCTCTCGCACACACCTCCCTCCCCATTCATTTTTCTCTCTCCTCTTTCTGTGTTCTCTTGTTCCTTCCTCCTCGAGTCCCAAACCTTCTTCTTCTTCCTCCTCCTCCTCCTCCTCCTCTGTTCCGTTCTGTTCTCTCTCTCTTGTTTTTCTCTATCTGGACGGTTCTCCGGCGCATCGACGTCTCGGAGTCTGTTTTCCGGCGATACTATTAATGGAAGGGGTCGAGAGAGCCTAGGCATCTCGGTTATCGGAAAACCATTTTTCGCTCTTTCTCAGAATCAATTCTTGCTTCGAATCGTTCTATTGAGCCGTTATTCAGTTATGTATGTTTTGTTTCCGATCTTGTTTTCTGCCTGAGAGCAAGCGGTTTCGTGAATTTTTGTTCCGAGTGAACGTAGAGCTTCGATCTTGAGCGAACAGTCTGATGAGTCTCTGTTGTTTTTGCGGTTTGGATCGTTTAATTTTTGGGGATTTTTTTCACGGTAAAGTCGGGAGATAGATTCAGAAAGATGGAGAATCGGATTGGTGGTTGTATACGTTGTTCGGATCGAGTTTCGAGCTTGTGATTGTTGAGAATTGTTTGATTTCAGAAGTGAGAGGAAGAGAATCGAACAAGTTTTGGGAGCGAGCGAGCTTCTGATTAACTCTACTTGGAAGCTTTGAGTTGTGCGTGTTGAAAGGAGGAAGCGATTAGAAGGGATGGTTTCTGCAGCTAGGGCTATACAGGTAAGCAAATCGTTAAATCTAGAATTAGTATTTTTTGTGTTGTTTAAATGACGACTCCTTGATTTATGTAGATGTAGGTTTTTGGATGGTATTTATTTATTTTACTTCACTTCACTTCACTTTGGGAACATCATTTAAAGCCAAGTTAATTAGTGAAAGTCACAATTTTTTTTGACGGATTACCCTTTATGGCTCAGAATTTTAAATGAGCAATTTACAGAACAGAATTATGTGTAGTCGAATCGTATCATAAAATTGAGTATTAAACTTTTTGTACTTTACGCTTCTTTTGGCATTTGGGGGAAAATGGGCTATATATTTTGTGTTCTCAATCCATGCTTTTACGAATCTTGAAATTTGTAGGCTTCTTTCTGGTAAATGGTGGGTCGTCCAAACCTTTTAATTGTCTGCTAGTATACACATGTTTTCACTAGTAAAGACTCGAATACAATAGTGGTAAAACCGTCTTCGAGCATTGTTACACTTTCTTCCAAGTTTCAATTCTGTTGAAATGAATGGGAATTTGGATAGGTGTATCATCTATTTATTCATCATGAATTTATGTGATTTAAATAAAAGTAATTGTGTGTTGTTTTGGTTTGTGTGCTGATGTTTAGCTTCCCATTAATGAATAGATTTTGCTTGGTTTGCCTTGTGAAGATTAGAATGGTTGGTACTGTTTCCTTGTGTGATGTGATGAAGGATTTATTTGTCATCACGAGAAATAATTTTGAATTATATATTGTGCTTGGTTATATTCGATATCTCAAGTAGAACTAAGGCACTTCTGATATCATAAAATTTATCCAAACCTTAAGGATGTATTGGAAGTAATTTACTTATTAATCTGAACGGGAATTAGAAATAGTTATTCAGACACTTGTGTAGTCGTGTTAGATATCAGTCTAGTAGTTTGTTTAAAAGAACATGCACTGCAAATGGATTTCCTATAAAATTTAGATATCAGCCTTTGGGGAACTCTTCTAATATTATGTACTTTATCGTTTTTATACAGGATCAAAATGGAGTCACTCAGAATGAGGAGCAATTTCAATCTGATCAAATATCAATGGATGTTGATCCAATTTGTGTGAAGGGTGCTCAGCTCAAGGAGCAATTTCCTTCTGGGAATGACTATTCTCCAAAGGTCTTTTGTGCCCTCTATGATCTGTTTCTGTTGGAAATTCATGCAATTTTCTCCTACTATTTTTCATACTCATACCTGCTATTTTCTCCTATAACAGGTGAGAAAACCGTACACAATTACAAAACAGAGAGAAAGGTGGACGGAAGAAGAACATAAGAAGTTCATCGAGGCTTTGAAGCTATATGGCCGTGCTTGGCGGCGAATAGAAGGTAGCTTAAATAATACTTATAAATATTGGTAATTTCTTAACACTAGTGCATCTTTGCCTTTTATATTTACTGAAATTATATTAATATTCTGCAGAGCATGTGGGCACAAAAACTGCAGTTCAGATTAGGAGCCATGCTCAAAAATTCTTTTCAAAGGTTTACTGCTCTTTCATTATTCTTTTTCTACCATTGTATGTATATGATGCATTTTGCAATATTTTTATTTTATTTTTATGACTCCAAGTTGTGCAAATGTTCTTATGGATATATCTGTTTCATTATTGACACCATTCTAATTCCTCTTTTTCTCCGTGATTAGGTTGTTCGGGAGTCGAATACCACTGATGCAATCTCTGTAAAACCTATTGAGATTCCTCCACCTCGTCCAAAGAGAAAACCTGTACACCCTTATCCTCGTAAATTGGTAGCTCCTCTTACAACTGGAACTGCGGATGAGCAACTAAGGAGGTCCACATCTCCAAATTTGTCAGTTTCAGAACATGAAAATCAATCTCCAACTTCAGTATTTTCTGCAATCGGTTCAGAAATTCTGGGCACAACAGGTTCAAATACACCAAATGATAGCCCATCGCCAGTTTCATCGGCCGCTGTCGCCAACAATGGCAGCTTCTTACTTTCTGAACCCAATTCATCTCCAGAAGAATCTGGATCCCCATTGGTGGTTCAGTTTCCTTCAATTTCAGCCCCCGATGTGCAAGTTCCCGTGGTACTTATCCCATCAGCCCTCAGCTATTTCTGCCCTTCTAATAATGCTAATATATTCTGCATCTTGACTTTGCTTTTCTTTTATTTGTTCCTTTGGTCTGAATATCCAGAAGTTAGAGTTGTTTCCTCAAGACGGTGTTTTTGCTAAAGAAGGGCCAGCTGAGGCACCATCTACTCAGAGTCTGAAGCTCTTTGGGAAGACTGTTTTAGTTACAGATTCTCACAGACCATCTTCACCAACCACGGGAACTTGCAAGTCATCGCTTTCTGATACATTACCATGGAATTCAACACCCACAGAATTTTCATCGCAGAATACAGAGGGTACATGGAATCCTCAAACAAGTGGAGCACCTACAGCTCTCTACTACATGCAATTTCCAAATCAGAACCCAAATCCAGCAGAATTTGGTTCTGGTCATTCTCTGCCATTGTGGGCTTTCTATGGAGGCATACAATTTCCTTGCTTTCCATTGCATAACCCAGTTCCAACAAAGGCAAATCCATCATCCTTTAGTGGGCAAACCCAAGAGAGAGAAGTTCAAAAGGAAGGATCTTGGACTGGTTCAAACACCGGATCAGTAAATGCTGGGGGAGATGGTGATAGAAATTGGGAGGTTGAGACCCAAAGTCGCCAACTTTCTTTTGTCAAGGAGGAAAATGAGAATCAACCGAAGTTCTTGTGTAAACCTAATGAAAAAGCATTTTTCTCAGAACAAAGAGCTAGCCCTGACAAATGTCCGAAAGGGTTTGTACCGTATAAGAGATGTTTAGCCGAGCGAGACTACCAGTTGTCGTCAATAACTAGAGAGGAGAGGGAAGAACAACGAATCCGCCTTTGCTTGTAGTGTTGTTCAACCTGAGAGAGCAGCTCCATTACCGCAGTAGCAGCAAAATTTTTGACAGAAGTTTGAGGAACTGATTCAGGTACAGCAATGACCCAACTTGTAGCAATTTCACCTACTGGATTACAACACGAAAGAGGGAAGGATGGTGTAGCGGTTTAAGCAGCCAGTTTGTGCAGCTTCCTCCTCCTCATCATCATAATCATCTCATTTTCCCCTTCCCGACTGTTTAAATCTGTTCAGCTTGTGTTCGTAATGTTTCGTGCTTTGTTCAGCACCTACTCGGGATTCAGATATGTGGCATTCCTTTGTGAATTCTTATACTTTTGGAACTGTGAATTCCCAGTTATCTCTTTAGTTATGCTTGTTTCTGGCTGGATTGTGATACGAGGATCAGTTGGCAGCATTACTTGTCCTGTTGGCAGTGATTGCAAGAGAGACTACTAATTTTGGTCGCTTGATATAAATATTGGTAATTTGTCTCTCTCCATGAATCTCATGATACAGCCATTGGGAGCCAAGGACTTGAAATAATTGTATAACTGGTAAATTATGGTAATAATACTCATTTCACTCTGTGAATTTTGTCTTTGTAGATCCTACATACATGTGAAAGGGAGATATTTTGTTTTTTAGCCGACTCTTGTTTGAAGTAATGTTTGTGTTGCCCTTCCTGGAATGATTTTCTACCTCCACTATAGATTCAACATTTATCACCTTGAAGACGTCTCCTTGTACCCATGGGGACTGTTATGGGTGTAGGCCAAAATGATTTTTTATGGACTTGACGTGTAATTACTTTCTTTTAAGGTGTACATAATTCGATCATAGAATCGGATATGACTTTCTTACCTGAATTGGGTCTCACTTTGTGGAATCCCTCCCTCGCAATGAGTCCACACAAAAAGGATGAAAGATGGTCTTGTGAAATCAATAACTCTAGTGTCGAAATGGCTGGGGGGTGGTGTGCTCAAACCCAAATTTTGTCTCAAATATTTTGACTTTTGGATTATAAATTTTTGAATTTGGTGTGGGTTTGGCCAGGAAAAAAAAAAATCAGTTAAATTCATGAGAGGCCCGACTAGAGACCCCAAGCAACTCAAAATTAGAATTATATTTAAATATATAAAATATTGAATTCATAAATAAATTATTAACCAACTCAAAATTTGAATTATATTTAAATATATAAAATACGGAATTCATAAATAACTTATTTACTATTGAATACTGTCAAAAAAATTTGGATTGTAAAATTATATTCATTATATGTCATACACAGGCAATACAATACAAAAAATTATTATTTTTTTTCTCTCTCAAAAATGATAATGGCCATTATAGCCATGCATCTTGATTCTCGTGTCTCTTCTTTCTCTCTTTCACATATAAAATATATGTTTTAAAATTATTAATGATTTTATAAGTAAAAAATGTTTTTAAGTATTGTCTAAATTTTAAGAAATTAATTAAATTAGCTGAAAAAAAAAAAAAAAAACTCAATTTTGTTGTCAATTCGGGCTTGGCTCGGTTTTAATTTATGATGTTGGGTTGGGTTTGGATAGATGAGATTGGATTGTAAGTTGACCTTACACAACTCTTGGCGCAATTCAGTTTGGGCCCATACAACCTAACAACCTGGCGGATTTGCTCAAGTTGCCTTCGATACGTTCTATATGGGGGTGGTCACGGATCAATTTTGGATGGTTTGGATTACGGTTTGAACCCGCTTGTATATCTACAGTTTGGAAAAAATTGAACCCGCAACCGCCTACAGTGCGGGTTGTGGTATATGCGGATAAAGTTTGTAGATATGCGGCCAATTTGCAATATGGACTTTTTCCTTTAAAAAGCAAAATTGGGGCCTGTTTTTCCTCATTATTTTAGAACATCAATAATTAATTAATTAAAACTTATAAAATTAAAAACACAACAAAATCAATTCCTAACACAAAAAAAAAATTCAAAATCTTAAATTTTTAAATCAAATTATAAACTAACACAAGCACATAATTAAAGTCTCTCAATCATCAATGTGTTCATGTAAAAAACAGAAACAACCAAAGGCTTGGCACTTCCATTTCTATCAATGATCCAACATTCATTTAAGATGGTGATACTGGTAAGCATGTATATATATATATACACATATACAATGCAGGTAGACAAAATTATATTTAAATCAATGAAAAAGAATAGGGCATGGCATATTTTCATCAATTTATAAACATGTATTATAGGTATTATCTAAAAATATGGACAGAGTGCAGCATTATAAATTCAACTTATGGGAAAACTCCACTTAAATCTCTTTTCCCTCCAGCACTACCAATCTAAGAAAAGTGGTATAGTGAATGATTGATAGGGTTTGTTTGAGATGAGGGTTGATTTTTTGACTTTTTAATTTTTTGACTATTTTATTTTGGGGCTAAAAAGTCTAGTTTGGGATAAATTTTTTGACTTTTTTTTTTTTTGACTTTTGTGAGAGAAAAAATAAAATGATTATAGGTTGGATGTGATATTTTGTCTTATTGAGCTAAAAAGCCTATTTTATTTTTTTATGGCTAAAATAGCCAAAAAGCTTGACATGCCAAACGAAGGCATAATCAGTCTGATTCATCACATGGGTTTGGCCACAAATACAGTAACATACCATCAAATGCAAGGTAATTGCACCTTTAGAAGACATACTGCAATTAAGGTGTGAAAGAGAGACTGTTAATACCGGTGCCAAAATGAGTAGATAATTAAGAAATTGAAAGATTAACGAAGGCTGCAAACTACACCCACAGACATATGCCTTAATAGAGCCAATCTCATCTGCTGACCATGTACTCTGCTATTTTTCAACAGGGGTTCTGGTGATGATGAAACCAAGGATGTCACTGTCCACGAATCGTTCGAGCTATCGCAGCTAAAATTCACATCGATGACACCATTTGGACTGTTGGATATGGACTGATACTTGCGTATATGGGTTTGGCATTGCTTTGACTATTGTTGCCAGACAGTTCCAGGACAAAGGAAAAAACAGTCCAGAGAGTGAGAAGAGAGAGGCTGTTGTTGAGAGATCAGGGTTTGGTTTAGACCAAAAAAAAAATCTAATATGAATCTGTGAGATATGTGAGGAGATTGACAGTCCAGTTTTTTTTTTTTTATTTTTAAAAAAATAAATATTTAGTATAGGCGAGTGTTTGCGGATACGGGTAAAACCTGTAACCCGTCCACAACCCGCAATAAAGGAATAATCTGAACTGCACCCTACCCTAATCTACACTCAAAATCGCCCCATTTGCATTTGGTTCGGATCTGATTGGGCTGTTTCTGCTGGTCAAATAACCCTTGTCTTGCCCTAGTTCTGTAGCATGCAGGGCTGAGATAGGTGTGATAACCCAACTCGTACTATGCTTAATTATGCATGTGATTATGTGTTTGACATGAATTTGCAAGTTTGAATATATGAATTATGTGAATTTGGAATAATATTTGTTGAACGTAGGAATATCTATTGCAATTACAACTTTGAACGGAAATTGGTAGCCTTATATGCGTGATAAACAAAAACTGACTTCATATCTGTGATTAGCATGATTTATAGAGCTTACGGTGAAATTTGAAAAATTATGATTCGTAATGAATAAATTTAGATTTTTGAGTTAAGTAATATATGTTTAGCCCATTTTGTTCTTTATTGTTGGAAGAGAGCTCCAAGAGTGAGTTAGAGAGAGAGAAAGAGAAAAAAGCTAGGGATTTGAGAGAATCAATGGGCAAACCATAGATTTGAGTTAATGTATGAAAATTTACTTACAATCTTTGTCTCTACCTCATCTTTGTCATGAAATCATGAAGAAATTATGAATTTTGAGCTAGGGTTTTGAGTTGTGTGGTGACTAAAGCTAAAAGCATGAAATTGAACCCTAATCTCTACATCTTTGATTGATTTGAGTTCATTCTTATGTTTGACCCATGAAACAAACCCTAGATGGTTCATACAAACAAGATTTGTGAGAAAATCATTCATGAATGTATGTATTTTGAATTTGTGTATGTAAACCATGAAATTGTGAAAAGATGAGACCATGAAGTTGATGTTGATACAAGATTGGTAAGTTTAATGTGGAATTACACATGTATCATGCTTATGTATCATGTTTTTAAGTGAGTTTTGCTTTCATTTGAGCTTGGAAATGAGTTTGGAAGGTTTGATATTTTTAGCCATTTTCGGACTGTCTGGGTGTGCCCAAATCGCTCTTACGACCACGAGCTCCGCATGAATGGCCCATGCCTTGAACCAAAACTACACAGCACTGTGCGCTCGAGTGGCTGTAATTTCCGCACGTGTGGCTAGGCAGGGGGAAAAATTCAGTTTTTTTGTATTGATGCTCCCGACCTCTGGAATGCATTTCCAACCTTATTTAGGGAGTGAAATGATAATTACAAACCATTAAAAAGGGGTGTGAATCACTAAAAGAAAGTGTATATGATATGAACGGATTATTTATCGAATATGTGTGTGACATGTTTGGTGTAGGTCGTGTACCGGAGGAAACGCCACAAGATCAATCACACTATGAGTAATAATACTTTACATATATATTCGTTATTGTGTACCTCGAATCATGAACGGTGATTAGTGCCGACATTGTGATTTGGTTAGAATGAGAAACTTCATTAATATTATATGGCATGTGCAAAGTTGGACCCGAGGCCGTTTTGATATATGTTGGGCCCGATGCCATTTTGATATATGATTGGGCCCGAGGCTGTTTTGTTATATGTTGGGCCCGAAGCTGTTTTGAAATATGATTGGGTCTAAGGCCGTCTTGTTTATACGATTATGGATATTGTGAGAATCTTATGACTATCTATCTATATTGTTTTATTGTACTATTACTCATTGAATTTTGCTCACCCAGTTTTATGTATGCACATGTAGGTAATCCGCAACATGGAGCACATCCCTAGAGTCAGCTTCAAGAACTATTCTTTTTGAGACCCAACCGAGTTATGCCTCCGAGATGGAGTTTTGTCTGACTTACATCAGATTTCGACTTTACTTTGTTTTGTTAATGTGGTCTTGGGTTTGTAAACATTATGCACAAATTTCCTTTGATACCTATATTCTTTTGCATGGGCATGTAAATGATGTGATTGTGTTATATTTTGCTCATATTGGCATAGCTCAATGGACTCATTCTTTTGTTGTATACTTCCGCTTTGGCCCCATTACTATAATTACTCTGTATGTTCGTTTGAGGCTGAAGGTAATCAAGTGATTACCGGCCGGTTATGATCCAAATTTTTAGGAGCGGGTT